CAGGGAACCCCAGAGCAGCCCGCTCTGCCGGCAGCACATGGAGTGAGCCGGGACCGAGACGCTGGGCACACAGGCCTGCTTCCGCTGGACCACCTCGGCCTCCGCACGCACGGCCGACACGCAGGGCTTGGCCACCCTCCGTGGGGAGGTGGTTCTGGGCACTGCGGGGTATTTAGCAGCATCCTGGTTTCAACCCACCAGATGCCCCGCCCTCACCCCTCTCCCAGCTGTGACAACCAAATGTGTCTGCAGACACGACTAGATGTCCCCTAGGGAGGAGGAAAGGGCACTGCTGTCATCCCTGGTGGAGAGACAGTTCTAGAGATCCTAACTTAAATGGTACGACCCCAGTGTAGATTGTATTTAAAAAAAAAAAAAATTAAAAGATAGTCCTGCTGGGCATAGGGTCACTCGCCTATCATCCCAGCGACCCAGAGGTCAGGCAGGAGGATCACATGTTTAATACCAGCCTGGGCAATTTAGTGAGGCTCTATCTCAAAATGAAAAATAAAAAGGGTGGGGATGTGGCTCCGTGGAAAAGCACCCTGGGTTCCATCTCCAGTGCCCCTCCCCCCACTAAAAGACGATCCTGATGGTTCCAGTGGGCCACAGCCAGTGCAAGCAGAGCGCGAGCAGCAGCAGGAGAGCACACACCTGCACTCTGACAGGGTTTTGAGTCTGGCATCTGCCACCCTGTTATTGGTCACTTCTCTGAGTCATGGGTGTCTCCTGAGTGACACCCGCTCTCAAGGGCCTGCTTCAGGCAGTACAAGAGATCACGTGTGTCAATACGTGGTCAGAACACGGTGGGTAAACTATCTGCCATGGACCCAACTGCCCACGGATGGACAAACGGATAATCGGAAGGTGATCTCACCAGGCGGAATATACTCGGTTACGTCAAGGAGCCAAACACCAACACCTCGGACACCTGGTGCTAAGTGCGAGGAACCAGTCCCAGACGGACGGCTGTCGTACCTCCCCATTTATCTGAAATGTCCAGTGGTCAAACGCACAGGACGGAGAGCAGACTGTGGAGGCCAGGGGCTGGGAGGGATGGCAGTGACTGATAATAGGCACCGGGTTCCTTTCTATGGTGGTGACAATGTTCTAGAACTAGATAGCGCTGGTGGCTGCACCCTGCTATGCATGAACCTGCTGCCCCTGAACGGTACACTTTAAGGTGGTTACAATGTAACTTTAGCGTCACTTGTACTTGGACACAATAAAAGATCTGATTACCACAAAACCACCCAGCCCGTGCCTGGTGCCCAGCAACACCCGGGGAACTGCAGTCTGTTAACTATCTGGTGCCCTAAGTCCCTCCAGTGGGGTTGGCGATGCTCCGGGCCACGTCTGCAGCCACCACTGCCCAAACTGCAGGTTCAACTCACAGCCCTGGGCTGGCCGTTACCGAGCCTGTGTGACCGCCCACGCGACCCCTGGGGCACCTGTGACCACTGTGGTTCTTGGTGGATTCTGTGCCTAACCCAGGTCCCCTGACCCTGGCTGCCACAGGCAGCAGAGTCACCCAGCTGGGACAAACTCTCAACTAAGCTGCAGAAGGCCAGCGGGCAGTGCCCGGACCTCTCGGGCAGGGGCCAGCCGCGCGCAGCTTAACCATCTCTCCAGGCAAGTTGCTCCACACGTTTGTTTGGCGCCGAGTTCCACATTAAGAGGCCACCTGAGGACGGGGAACTCCTGGGGCAGGTCCCCAGTCCTCAGAGAGCCCGGAGGCAAAGCAAACAAACCCAATGAGCCTCTAAAAGAGGAACTGGGGGGGAACGCAGCAGCCACAGACATGGCCTCTGGGGCCCTCGTCGCCATCTGATGCAACTTCCGCCACCTGTGGCTGCTAATTGGACACCCAGGACCTCAGGGAGGGCTCTCAGGAAGCCTCGCTCCAGGGGACCCTCCGACGCCCATTCAGCTTGTCATTCATCTGGGGACTCCGACCACCCAAAGCCGCAGTGGCTGGTTTTCTAACCAAAGCCCGGGCCTGGGGTTATAGCCACCCCGGCCCCTGCTCCAGCCTCCAGGTGGCCCTGGTGAGGACTCCCCGGCTCTGCTGCTGCTCCGGCTTCTGGCCGTCCTAAAGGGGCTCGGGGTCTTGTATTTTGTGAGTCCTCGGGGGTCGCTGGCACAGGCGGCCGGGTGTTTACCTTCACTGGCAACAGCGCCACCCCGGGAGCAGCAGCAGCCCGCGGAGGCCCCGGGGGAGAAACAGGACCCTGGGCCCTTGGGCAGCCCGTCCTGTCACAGGACTGGGTGGCCAGAGTGACGGTCCACCCGAGAACCAGGAGGGAGGCGGGGGAGGCCGGCCCACCCAGAGAGCCAGCCCTGCAGAGGGCGGTTCTGTGAGCCCGGAGCAGTGACTGCCACCGAGGGGGCCCGGCTGCCAGGCACATCACCAACTCACGTCCACTCATGTCGTCAGGCACGCCTGTCACCAGGCCATGTCACCTCTGCTGCTGCAGCCTGACGGCCGAGTCCCCAGCCCAGGCCAGCGACAACCTGGCGTTGGGACTTGGGTCAAGGAGTGGGACTCTCCGTGCCTCCACTTTCTCATTGTCAATGG